AACAAAATATAAAGTTAAAACAACAACAAAATGATTTTAGTGGCTTTTAAAAATCCATAAAATATTGCAGATGTTCTTTTTATTCCCATATACAGAGATTAATTATAATTGCGCCCGCATTTATTGTAGCTTCCCATACAAGTGAGCAGCGGCGTTTGCTGCACCCATGCACTTGTTGTGCCCGCCTGCTTAACCTACTTAACACCGTTTTATAGCCTTCACACTCACCTCTTTGTCAAGGACGTTGCAACGCCAACGTTGTTGCTGCGTTTGCTGTTTGCTATTGGCCACTTGGCCTCTCAACAGCGCAGTGGCAGCTTCTTGGTTGCACTTATTTTGGACAGCTCCTAGAGCTTCAGCCACTTACTGCTGTCAACGCGTTATTTAGAATAACAACAACTTAAGTTATTTTTATGGATCTTGCCACACTCAATTTCCGGACTCCTATGCGTATGTATGTATATATTTTTCTCATATATAAACTTGGTTGTTTGGATGTATTTTATGCACTGGTGTAAGATCAAACAAATCGGATTGAAGTCTCCTCACACTATATGAAACGATAATAAAAACGGTTGCATTAAAACTTTTAAAACCCTTTTCAAGAAACGACAAACATAAACAAGCACACACACACACACATCAACACACGCGAAGATCTTTGCGATTGATTTTATTAGAACGAACGGCACACGCGACGATCCAACGATYCAACGATCCACCGATCCTCCAGCGATGGCAGCAAATGCACAACTAAAACCTGGAGGCCTGTGGCTGCTCTGGTAGCTGCGGATGATGTCTCGTGTTTAGGCAGGGCCCGGTGTTCGTGCTAATAAAAATTAAAACACTTTTATGCCATTAACAACAGGAACGACAACGCAAACCGAAGGCGATGCCAAACGAAATGAAAATGATGCTGAGCAGCGAGGCGTCTGTCAGAGAGCCTCGCGTTGACAATTAAACAGGCAGCCAGCCGTTCGCCTCTTTAGAATGCTGTAATAATTATTCTAATAACAACAACAAACGAGCGACACTAAAAGCTGTCATAGATCACGATCTCAGAAAAACCTCAAGAGCGCGCGCGCGCGATCTCTCGTTTATATTTATTGATACTCAACGAACGCGCGAGTGTTTATCTTTTACCTCTACCAATCGCACCGTCCTGTTCAACGTGCAAACGCACACTGAAGGGTAGCAGCAGCGACAGCAACATCAAAAGCAGCAGCAGCAGCAGCGGCGGCGGCGGCGGCAGCAGCAGCGGTGGCAGCGACAGCGACGTTGGAAGCAGCAACAGTTGTTGCAGTCGTCGTCGCCTGATTGCAGTTTGTTTTGTTCTCAGCTGGTGTTGTTGTTGGCTGCTGGATGATGTTGCTGTTGTTGTTAACTTGTTGCCGTTTGTGTTGCGGTGTTGTTGCTGCTGGGAGAAACGCGTTCAACGGAGCAGCAGCACCAACAGCCGCCGCAGCCGCAGACACAGCCGATAGCATTTTGTCTTCGTTTGTATTTTTCTTTTGACGCGTGAGTAAGCTAAGACGCCCACGTGCAAATTTGCGTAAGCGACTAAGCGACTAGCGTTGCCAGATTGCTGATAACTTGTTTGGAGTGGTTCACGGCATGAGTGAATTAGTGAAGGAAAATAAATCGTAGATTCAAGAGTTGATCGATAGCTAATTGCTGCACCACAATGCAAATAGCAAACGAACAAGGATAATACTGACTTTCTGCGCTTTTAATGCATAACAAGAAAGTGATATAAATTGCGGATCTGCCTATTTAGGTTTACTACAAATAATCCTACACATTGACTATCCAATTAGGATATTTTAGCGCGTGAGTAAGCTAGGACGCCTACGTGAAAATTTGCATGGGTTGGCAACGAGTGCTGCCAGATTTTTGAAAACTTGTTTTAAACGATTCACGGAATAAGTGAATTAGAAATACAACTTGATCGATGACTAATTGATAAATAATTTACATCAAGCTGGTTTTCTGTTATTTCAAGTTTATGTGTTTTTCTTAATGAATAATTTATGGATTTAGCTTGCTGATCTGCCTAATTTGTCATTTAATGCAACAAATTATCCTACATTTACCATCCGATTGGACCCTAAACTTGTATCAATAAAGTATAAAGTCTCTGCTCTTATTTCGAAATCGAAACCCAACAACAATGTTGCCCTTGCTCATAAAGCACATTCTCTGTGAATACTCGGAACCCTTTTTTATGCATTCAGCCTTGCCGCATTCCCCACATTTCATCCCGGCCAGGGCACACAGCACGTAAAAGCTGGGCACTTCAAAAATGCCCAGAAATGGGGCTCATAAAATCGGGCACGAACCGTGCAATCATTAAAGACCAACAACCAAGCAACAACACTCGTTAAAATCAAAACACCCCAGACCCAAAATAGTGTTATGTCCATGTGGCACCTATTAATGGCTACTTATGCACTACAAGTGTTGACGCCGGGCCCCCAGCCCCAGCCCCGTTTCGCCGCCCTCTATCAAACTGACAGCAGAAGTGATGCGTAACACGTCAGTAGCTGGCAAAGAAAGCAGATCTTCAGATCTACCAGTTCATCATTATGTCGCCAGCCATGTCAAGCCATGCCCCGAACTGGCCTGAAGCATTATGCATATATATCATATGAAGCACACCCAGTTCCAGGCAGAGCGGATTCACATCTCATCGTCGATGCTGCATATTTCGCTTGTTGACTGCATTTTTTTTTTTTTTTTTTTTTTTCTTTTTTTTTTTTTTTTTTTTTGGACACGACGACCACTTGCTGAAATTTCATTATGTGCGTGATTTATAAATAAGCGGCACGGTGTGCAGCTCGTTGAGATCGGACGATGTTGTTGTTGTTGTTGTGTTTATTGTGGCGCGCAGCATCAACGACCCACGCACTTTGGCGGCGCTACAACTCAGCTTGCATGTCTGACTACCCCTCGGTTGTTGCCTTTTGTTGATGCCTTTTGTTGTTGCTGTTGTTGCAGTTCATTTCGTATTAATCATAAAATTGTATTATTAACATGTTTATTTTTCGATCTTCAAGCTTTCGATTACACGCATTCCTCACTTTATTTGCGGCGCTCTTTTTCGAGCATGTGTGTGAACGTGACTTTGCTGTGCAGTGTAACGAAAGTGAGCCACTTTCTAACACTGTCCGCTCACTCAGGAAATTGTCTTTTATGCCTTTCTGACCATTAATTGGGTTACTCTCAAACTGGCGCAGTGGTCGCACTTAAAACTGTCGCATAGGATGGTGCGTGGGTGTGTGGGGCCATACAAAGAGCCAAAACTACGTTGTAAAAATTACGACGGACAAATTAGTGAATAAAAGCTGTTTTAGCTCGTTAAATACAAGGCAAACTATGCATAACTAGTTGATTGGCAAATATTGGCATATAAATATTATTAGGAGATTAATAGATCACTGGGTATTAAAGATTAGCTATATAGTTTAGTAGTTATGTCGTCTCTTGTTATTTCAAACCTGCGTTATTTCGAACCTCTCATTAATTCAMAGTTATCACTCAGTAATTCGAACTAAAAATCATTGCTAAGACGCGGTAATTCGTACTCATATGGTTAAACACTCGACAATTCRAAATATTTBARGAGTCCCTTGAATTTCGAAATAACGAGAGTCGGCTCTGCATGGCTATGCATGGATTGGTACTCGAGTCAAAACAAAATCCATACATATATAGGACGTATATAGGCTTCATAGAAAACACATATCATGCCAAAAATTTAAGGTAAATTTGACTTGGGTTTACAAGAATCTTAGTCTTACCAAAAACAGTTGCTAAAAAACTAACAAAACTAAAAGAATTTATCAAAATACAAAGCAACTACTACAAGGAATATGTAGACCTATGGAAGTCTGATATTCAGGGAATAATAATAGTTATTAAAATGTAAACACAGTTCTTAAATCCACTTCTAATAAATATATATATAATTAACATAAACTTATTTTATTAATAGAGCATCTCATGTTTAATCAAAATCTGTGGTCCACAAATGCCTAAATGAAGTACCTAAAAGTGAAACAAACTCCAAACTCACGCAAAATCAAACTAAAGCTTTCGTTATTAATTTTCAATTGGTTATTTTGCAAAAGAGGAAGAGAGGTGTTCAGCTCTTGTTATGCAATATTACTTTAGATAGGCTCAAAACCTAACTAATGCAGTAGATTTATAAGTTACATACATATTTATATTCCAAATGACTATGGATAATAGTGTTGTGAATTGTTTCGCTCTCAACATACTCTTAATTTTCCACCCATATTTCTGTATGCTTTTCCAGCAATACACAATTTGCTTATATTTATATATTATATTTACACTTACTCTCCTTTACATAGAGCTCCACTTACCCTATTTAAAGCCCTACAACTACGCACACTTGCGCAGTTAAGTGAATAAATAATAAAAAATATAAAAAACTAGTTAAAGGTCAGTCAATACAACTCCCGAGTTTGCCCTCAAATGGAACGAGTTTTCTATTCATCGCATATCTATGTCTAATAAATATTTAAAAGCGCACACACACACACACATACGGACACACACGCTTGCGATTGACCATATAATTAGCGTCAACGCAGGCTATAAAGCAAATGATTAACGTCGTCTTTATGAAAAGACCCAATGCAAATAAAGCCAGAGCTCTATAGTTATGGCTAGGGTGTAGCCTGTGGACCTGATCATTAATTACACACATCGCATTGTTGTTGTTCTGTTGGTTCATTTTGTTGTTATTTGCTATTTTTCTATAATTTTACATATGATATTCTGTGTGTTTATGAATAAATTAATTTAAATTAAGCAATAAGCCAACTAACTAGAGTATCTAATATTACGCGCTATTACGTCTTAAGCGTATTTGATGATAGGTTTTTAACATTCAACAGGCCTAGACCATTTTTTTTTTCTTTTGGTTTTTTTTTTTTTTTTTTTTTTTTTTTTTTTTTTTTTTTTTTTTGTAATCGTGCTCTTAACATTTTAATCTGTAAGTTAAATGCAAAAAAGAAGAAGCAAATTAAGAAGCCTTTTGTTCGGAGCCGCATCAAACGTTAAACGGTAGCAACTCTTAATTAACTCATCTGTTGTCATTGAATCTCTGCTCCAGATACCCTGTAATCTATGTCTTCTTTTCCGCACTGGCCGTATCGATGGAGTCGCCGCAGCTGTAAGTACACAGGCACACACACACACACACATACATACACGATTTGTTTTAGTCTTTTGCATTGTTGTTGATGTTGATGAGTTGACACAATGTGATATATGGGTTTTTAAGTGGATCCCACTTCGGTGTCAGGTCGACATTAGCATAAACTAACATCTGGGCGGGGGTTAATGTAGCTACTCAAGGTCAGCATATGGTCAAAGGTGCAAATAAACAGAGATTCCCTGAAGATAAGCCTCCTCCAAGTATTTTTAATGAACTACTATACATAGAGATAGATAAGGCTTTTATGGTTTCAATTAATTAAGAGTCGATCAGTATCCACAAAAACAGACATAAATATAGCTAGGGTGATTAAAATTTTATGTTAACAGAAATGTTAATCAGCAGTAAAGAAAATGTAATGTAAATATAAACTAAATCGCAATCATCAGCTATAGATATATGTATATATGGTTTCCTTCATCTAGTTTGTCAATCTGAACAATTGGTATTAGTATATGTATACATATGTATATACTTCATATGGTTAGATGGATATATGCGATAGGGTTGCTCATCGAAGGTCTGCAAAATCAGTTCGGCAACCTACTTCGTGTGGAAGAAAAATTCTCAAACTAACTGTATAAAGTAGTTTTTTTTTTTTTTAATTTAGTATAATTTTGTTTGAGTGATGAATTGACTCAAAATAACAATAACATACCCAAAGCTATACCAGCAACGCTTTGTGAAGATTTATTGCTTTATACATATGTGATAATCAATCAAATCGGATCATATAGCTATACTAATATATGCCGTAGCTAGGTATACAGTAAGACTAATAAACAAATTAATTCTATTAATACTACACTCTATATGTATGTATAGCCAAAGACGTGCCTTACTCTGACTCCGTCCACATACAGCAGCCATAAAGAACTAAATTCTTTTCATCCAGAATTTAAATAGTTAAACCTAGATAGCTAAAAAATTCCTTCGGACTGCGGACTGGAGACAGAAGTATGCGATATTAACTCGTAAACGAGGAATCGAAGTTCAGCATGAAATTTGTTTTATTTTGATTTCTGGTTGCTAACTGAAAAGAAAAGGATTCCCGCTGAGCTGCCAGTTGAGCTTTCATTGCACAACACAAACTCCAGACTGTACTACCCATATAACCCATTAACCCCATGCGCGGCTAACCACAAATTCACTTTCCTATTGTGGCTAAATTAAGCGAGCCAGGAGCCACGCAATGGCGCGCAGCTCTGGCAAATTTAGACCGCAACATAAAACCTGACAATTTATGCCGACAACTGTGCGAAAACCTAAATGAAAAGTGAAGTTGATGGGAGATGGGGAATGTCATAAAAAGGTAAACGGCAGCAACGGAGGCGCACAAACATTACCTGAGGCAGATGATGGGTGTCTTGGGCTGCTTGGCAGTCTGCTCCGAGTGTCCGCACTTGACGGTGACAACAGAGACACTGACAGCGTCGTCGCCATTCGCATCCGGTGGGGCGGCGAGCGGCGCTGCTGCAGTTGGAGACTGCACGTCACCACCACCAGCACCATTTGTCTTCAAGCGCACCACATGCGCCAGCTTTGTGGTGGCAGCCACAGCAGCAGCCACCACATTGCCATTGCCATTGGGCAGTGTGTTAATGGGCTTCTGCAGTAATTGATTGGAGGAGTCCAGGCGATTCGAGAGCGAAGTGTGACGATTGTTGACTGACTGAAAATTGAAGCAGAAAATTTAGATTCAATTAAAAGAAAAGAGAATTATGAGAAAAGTTAGAAAGAGAGAGAGAGAGAGAGTTATGAAACTAGATAAAGCTGCATCTAAAAGTAGCAGAAAGCCTAAACAATTAATAATAATATAAATTAAAGCAGGTAAGAAAGTCAAGACTGCTGGACTACGAAATCCCCTTTTTCAAACTCAATGGAAAGGAGAAAGAAGAAAAGGAGAATTTAGGGGCAGCATCAATAATAACAATAAATCGAAATTGTATAATACTCACATGCATCTATAAATGAAATCTGGAGAGTCTAGCTATAAACATGTATAAGATTTCATTTAATAACTGATTTTCGATAAGGCTTTAATCGATAATATTTAAACAAAAATAATTATCGTTACTTTGAAACAATCGTAATTCACAAAAAATTGCAAATATCCAGCTCTTTTTTATGTGAGATCAACGTTTTCATACATACGAACAGACGGAATCGACTCAGCTAGTCGGCCTGATCGAGAATATATATATACTTTATGGGGTCTGCCACGCCTCACATACTTTTCAGAAAATCATTGTCGTTTGATTTCCCATTTTCCATGGGTTTAGGGTATACAAAGAAAAAGAGATACGAAAGGAAATTTAGAGAGATCCTCTCTTACCACATTGTTGTTGTTGTTCATGCGTCCACGTATATTGTACAGCCCATAGACCAAGGGATTCATGCACGAATTCGTTGAGGCGAATATGAACAGAGCTTTGCGCACCAGCGAATTGACCTTATGCACGGACGTCTTGTCGAGGGAATACCACATGCATATGAAATAGTACGGAGTCCAGCAGATAATGAACACAATCACAATCGTGATGGTCATCTTGAGAGTGCGTTTCTTGGCGCGACTCAAGACGTCGTCGTTGGAGCGGCGAAAGCGCTCAGCGATGACATCCTTCAGCACACGCTGATTCTTGCGATAGATCTCCAGGTAGATGGCACCGTAGCAATAAATGAATGCGATCAATGGAAATGCGTACATGGCACACATTGTGCCGATCTGATAGAGCGAGTTGTCAAAATCACCGGCGAACGAATGAAAGGTGACGCACTGAAAGTAGCCTTTGACGGTCGGATGCTCCTCGACGTGGAAGAGAAAGGCCTGCAATGGCAATGGCAATGAGTGACATTAATTGGAATTGGTTAGCTACTGTGTGTGTGTCGGACCCACCTGCGGAATGCTGCAGATGACGGAGCCCAGCCAAGCGCAGGCCAGCATGATGCGACCACGATTGTAGGATCGTTTCAGTGGCTTCAGGATTGCATAGTATCTAGAGTGGGAAAGAGAGAGAGAGACTTAATCGGAATGTTAGGCAAGCGATTGACACTTTGTCTCTATGTGTGTGTGTGTGTTTGTGTTTGTCGCCTTATCTGGCCAATCAATTTGGTCCATTAGCGACACAGTCGAATTTGCCGTCAACTCACCTGTCGAGCGATATGCAGACCATGACAAAGCTGGACAAGTACAGTCCGAACACGCGAAAGAAGCTCATGAGACGGCACATGAGGTCCGTGGAACGCCACTGCACCGTCCAGGCCCACGCAATCTCTAGCGGCATCAGCAGAAACGTCACCATTAGATCGGCAATGGCCAAATGCATTAGCATGATGTCGATACGCAAGGGACCACGCAGTCGACGCTTGGTCAGCAGATAGAGCACGGTGCAGTTCCCAATTGACGAGATCACAAAGAGTATGCTGCGAATGGGAAAAGGTCGTGGCGATTAATCGGCCAACAGCACGAGCGAGCGACTGAGCGTTATCGTTCGGGGGATAAGCCAATCACGTGTGGGGGCGGGGCGGGGCGCGGCTTGACGTTGCGTGGGTGCCATTCGGCTCTGTGCTAAGTGGGTCATACGAATTGAACAAAGCAGCGAACTCAACTGCAACTCAAACGACCCAAGGAAGGAGTGACTGTGGAGCTTATCACTATATTTATGTAATAGTTTATATCGCAATGGCAATCATGGGGTATGTACATTAAGGTGTTTATAATGAAAAACTATGATAAAGTCATGAAGGAAGGAGCGAACCGGAAATGAGTAACAACAATTTAAATTTCTTTAGCATAAAGAAGAGAAATTTATTGCTCATATATATTGTTTGTAAACTTCTTTGTTTTTGGCACTTATTCGTTGCAACTATATACATAATTATTTAATTTATATTTCAATACATAATTGAAAATATTAAAACAATTATGGACTGAATAAAAAATTTATTTAAAAGAATATATTACTTTTGTATATATTTATTTAT